GGGAAGGCGCGCAGTGTGAGGAACGAGGTTCGGGGAGACGGGTAGGGAGAGGGATAGGGGGGATACGAGGTTTGGGGAGATAGGGGGAAGAGGGACAGATGGGAGAGGGGAGGCGCGGAGTGGTGGGAAGGAGGCTCGGGGAGGGAGGGATGGAGACTGGCGGGGAGTCGGGAGAGTTGGGGGGGACAAGCGGAAGAGGGTCGGGATGGTGACTGGCGGGTACGAGGTTCGGGGAGGTCTGGGAGGAGGTTCGGGGAGGGAGGGGGAAGACGCGCAGTGTGAGGAACGAGGTTCGGTACGAGGTTCGGGGAGGTCCAGGAGGAACCTCGTTCCTCCCGCCTTTTTTTTCTCCCCCCGGACATCTTGTCCCTGCCAACACAGTCCGGACAGTCCGGTGATGTCCGGTTCCGGTGATGCCCGGACTGGTCCAGCCACAGGTCCGGAAAACAGTCCGGAAGTGTCCGGTGTCCGGGTCCGCAGTTACCATGGTCGAAAGGTCTGAAAGCCCTTGTGTCCGTGGTTTGTATCCACTAACATAACGCCCAGTCATTATATCTGTATGTACTATGTAGTATGTACCTGGTCTGCAAGCCTTGCTAAATACAGAGCTATAATGACCAGGTGTTGTGATAGGAAAAATAAGGTTTTATCTGTGTCAGTGATAATAAGGTTTATCAGACTTTATCTGTGTGAGTGATAATCAGGTTAAAATTCCGTTAAATCAACAGACGGATGGATTGCAACAACAGCATCAGTAGAACTCCCGTTAACAGGAAGGAGACATGTCACTGAAAAAATAACACATTATAATTTTATAGGATGAAGAAATGTTGCTGAAAAAAGAAAACATGTCTCATCACAAGGAGATATCATCATCAGTTAGGCCAGATCGATTGCAACAACAGCATCAGAAAAAAAACTTGTGTTACGTTGTGTAACAGGAAGGAGAAACATCAATGAAAAAGGAATACGTTTATAACTTTATAGGAAGAAGAAACGTTGCTAAGAAAGAAAACGAATGGCAGGGTGTCACGTTCTAACGAAAGAGTCAGGAGATGAAGGGCAACGAAGGGCTTGGAAGGTCTGTTTCCCCCCGGACTTCCAGTGAGGGGTCACCGGCAGGTTCGTTGATTTTGTCTTGCTACATGGTATGTGAGGGGTAAAGTGAAGCCACGGTCCGTTTAGTCCTTTTTTGATGGCCGAGATGTGGCCATGTGATGACTGAGTTGCCTTCAGGCCGATAAGGGAGGGGGTGAAGGTTTGGGGGAGACAGACACATCATGATGAGAGGTTAGTTTATATACTACGATCCATAGTTTTGCTCTTCGTGGCTTGAGTGACCTTCGTTTTTTCGTTTTGATCTCGTTTTTTGGGAGGTAGCTTCAAGATAATAACTCGATTCTGATTTTCAGATGATTGTAAATCCGATTTTTGATTGTAATCTCTGTTTTTTTAATTTAATCTTTTGGATTTTTCTATCCGATTTTCTCATGACAGGAAGCTTTAGGTTTTCAATCCTAATTTGATTGAAGACAACGGACTCATGAACGAATTCAAAATTTTCTGAATAATTCTCAATTTGATCCTTTTGCAAGGAAGATGAGCATTAGCGAACTCCAGTAATCAAACAGCATCATACATATGAGTCCAGATAGTCTTGACCTCGAACCAACAGCAGAAATGCATCACGAGATTCACCAAATAAGATCACACCAATAGTTCGTAATTGACAATGCTTGAAATAGTCTCTCATCATCATCAACGAAGAACAAGCGTTGATATCCTATTGGCGCTCGGCGCCCAGACTACATGTGGCAGATCCTATCTAGCCTAATACTACAATGCCGATGTTGACAACAACAGCTTCCTGAAGTACGAGCATACAGCGGACAATGCCGCACGCTTCCAGCACCAGGTATGTCTCTCGCAACACTCACAACCCCGATCCACACCACACAGATGCCACTAGCACCCAAGGACCACCCTGCGTCACACCCAGCTCACAGCGGAGCAGCTCGGCTATGGCTGCCCACTACTTCCTGCTCGCCCGTGAGAGCGTGAGTGCCAGCCAGCCAGCAAATAGCGCAGCAGCGCTCGCGCAGCATGCAGCCAGCACCCGAATACCGAATGAGGAGGCAGGCCCTTCCCTATATCGAAGTGGCCTGCCTRCGTCCAGTCCAGGAAGCTTCCAGTAGGCCCCGGTAGGCACAGGCCCAGACCTCACACGCAGGCCCAGGGCCTGAYGGTTGCATGTGCCCAACTGCSCTTGGCCTGCTCACGGCCTTYCCCCCGCGTCTGGCCCAGGYCCCCATTCAGATACATTTGCAAAATATGGYCTGGGCCTGGGTGCCTTCAACCAACTGGSGCAGCGCAACTGTCTGAATTTCACCAGTTGCGGGGTACCCTGAAAATCGAGGCCCTGAGGGCCTGTCGCGCCTGCCTTCACTTAGGGCGGCCGACATGCTGCAAAAAGGGCCCCGAAGGGGCTGAGCGGGCGTAGCCTCGCACTTTTATGTTGATGATCGTAAATCAGAGTTTCGCCTCTGATCTCGAATATGTTTTCTAACTTTTTAGATTCTCAATGAACTCGTGAAGAATAATCCACCAATCTGATTCGATAGTGGATTCATGAACGATCTTCAAATTTCTGAATAACTCTCGATTTTTTTTTTTCATATTGACAATCGTAAATCAGAGCCTTGTCTCTGATCTTGAATAGTGATCTCTAACTTTTTAGAATTTCAATGGTCTCGTGAATTTGTTGAATCTTGTTTTTCCTAATGTTTCGACTCGCCTGAAACGGTATTCTAGTGTCTTGTTGTTGCGCTGGTCGTTGTGATATACTCCTGCTTGAGAGGGGTTAGTAGTGGGAGGGAGGTGACGCGTCCTACTAGCCAGGGGGTCAATCGGTAGGACTGAAATAGGGCATAGCAGCAACGGAGATGGTGGCTCCGGTGTGATAAGTCTTGCCGGAGGGGGGTCAGGGGGAGTTTTCAGGTGGTTTGGAGGTGTTGAGCATGACCGGTGCATGGAGGAAGCCGGGTATTTCGAAGCCTTAGTTGCCGTGGTGTTTTCAACAGATTATCCGACGGTGGGTTATCGCCACCATGTCCATAAGGTTAGGGTTGGCCGATGCCAGAACGACGCTGGCCGAAGCTGGGGTTGGGTTGCGCCGCCCTGTTAACCTGAGTATGTGGGGGTTAGAGGCCTGGTAGAGAGATCTGGGGAACTGTCGAGGGTGGAAGGCAGTCCAGTGGCTAACCGTGAGCTGGTATTAGGACGACGCGGGTCGGAGCTGGGGTGGGTCGCACTGCCCTGTAACCCAACGGTTGGGGGTGTGAGGCCTGGAAGAGCCTGGTATCTTGGATATGTGGGTTGAGGCAGCCGTGAGATAGTCCGTTGATAGCATTGGGGCAACATGTTTTTGGTTGTATCGGCTTCCAGATAATCCCATTTGGGTCTCATTTTTTGCTTCTAGTGGTCTTGAGGTCGCTTCAGGATACTGGGGGTTTCTTGCTACTTGCTGTGGGTTTTTCT